TTTAGTGTCCCATTTCACCCCAAAATGGGACACTGTCTCAGATTTTGAATTGTTGTTCGAGAAATATGTCTAGTAAATGGAAGAGAAGTAGTAAAAGATGTTAATGGATGAAAAAAACATGAAAAAAGCAATTGAAATGGTACGAAGCGGAGGAAAACTCCTGACTGAAGCCAGTACATATTCGGTTCCAAGGGCTACACTTCGCTGTCATGTTTATCGAACGCTGAAGAAGGCTTCAGGATCACGGAGTCTTGGTTGTTCTCCTACTTTGGGCCAGAACAAAAAGGATCATTTGCAACATATACTCGAATTTGAAAAGAGACGCTTCCCATTAACGGTTAAAGACATTCGAAAGTTGGCTTATGAATTTGCAATGGTGAACAAAATTTCTAATAAATTTTCAGAATCTGCTAAAATGGCAGGAAAAGACTGGTTTCGGGAACGATATGGAAACTTGATAAATATTAGAGATGCACCGATACCACTTTTGTCGCCGATACCGATACCGATCCGATACCAGCTAAAAACGCCGATACCGATACCGATACGCCGATACTACAAAAAGGCCGATATTACCGATATTCCGATACCGATACTATGTAAATATTACTTGATTAGGTGTGTTGTGTAGGGCAGACGGGTTAAAACAATGGTCTCTGAGCGTTGTTCATAGTACACAATATTTCAAATCGAAAAAAAAGATATATATGTCGCATAATATGAAATTAATGATTGGTATCCATATGCTTTAACTGATTAAGATACATTGTACAGTAACGCTAGTAATCTCGGTGTTCAATTGAAACTCATAAGCCGGGATGTCCAATATGAATTTAATGTTAATATCGCGACCTTCAAAAATCGTTATTCGTGTTTAAAAGAATATCGAATATCACCCACACATTCTAGAGCCGCCGTCCTAAGATCAAATTAAAAGCATTTTTCAAATATTTCATTTCGTCGCTAATCGTAATCGTCGACGCAATAAGTAAGTCAAAGCCAACATGAAAGAATATCAATCAGCACCGACCGAAAGAAGGCCTACCTATAACCGTCGAGGACATTTTTTTACTTTACTATTTTATAATATTATACAATTGCTATCATATATTTTGTTATAGTCTAGGGCTAGGCGGTCATGTCAATATATCTATATATACCTGCGTAGAGGGATAATTGTGTCGGAATTTAGTTTATTGATGTCGACGGACTGAATGACACTCGTACTTGACGACAAACAGTCAAAATTTATACCCGTGCCAAAAGTCCATGTGCCGTTAATAAGGACCCCAATTCCACTGTATGATTTAAAACTGGGCGTCTAATTGCTTTTTGTTATGTGCCGTGTTGATATATTTCTTCATAATTACTATGTAATATTAAAAATTTCAATATAAAAATTTGACAGCGAAAATAGCCAAATTAGTTGAGCTAATTTGGCTGATAAAAATACACGTGAATCCTATTCTCTCGCGGGGGTGGCGACATGTATGGCTCATAGCTCACGATCTCTCCAGACAAAAAATAAATTAAAAAGTAGTATTCCAACTTATCTTTAAAACATTCTGGACCATATCAAAAAGGTAAATATATCGGAAATATCGGCCTTAATCTCACCGATACCGATACATGGCCGATACCGTAAAAATGGCCGATATTGCCGATACCGATACCCGATACCGATACATCGGTACATCTCTAGTAAGAATCGTTCAAGGTTGATATTGCAGTGTTGGGCACCATTGCCGGACACTTTTGTCTTAAAGACGCAACATAAGCCTTGCTTTCTGTATTCGGATCAACGTGTTTGTGCGAACAAATTTGTTCGCGCAAGAAGTTTGTCTTGTTGAACCCTCATCGCAGTGGTGTCAAGGCTGATAATTCTGAAGCTAGTGTTCTGCCAAAAGTCACAAATTATGAGCCAGAAATTAGTTAATGCTCTGAGTGAAGAAAAGCAGGGACAGCACTCCCACACTATGTATGTTACCACGATAAATATGGTTCTATTAGCATTTACAATGACATGTTGACTTGCAAAGACATTTAATACATGCCGCTCCATATATATTTTTTATATTTTGAATCAATTGCTTCGTGTTTTAACCTTGTATTTTATGGGCAACGTGAGTTATTCACTGTCGATACTTGAAGTCCTCTACTGCCACCGTACGATTTTGGTCCCCAATTACCTATTTCATAAGTTATTAATTTAACGGTCATTCACATATTTAAGATATTATTTCCATTCGCGGCCACTTTCCACTCTTTTGTTCTCGATATCTTGCTCACAAAGACCAAACCAGGAAAGCACTTAATAGGATACCCTAGTACTTGATTATATAGTTTATTCATAGTTTATTAGTTTACTTTTCATTATAAAGAAAATAAGGCTGTTTTAACATTAAAATGTTCTTATTGAATACCAGCTATCATTTCTACACCTTTACAAACCGAATTATCAAAACACGGAGTATAAATATAAATTTATTGATGATAAGTATGTACATATTTACAGAATGGTAAACTATGAAAAAAAATCGAAACATGCTCGAAAAAATAATAGTAAGGCTTGTACTATCTAATTTGACTCGATTCGATGTTACGTTCCCGATGATGCAGCGGGAATATTAACTTTATTTGACACCAAAACATCTGCCTGGACAGCGTTTAACTTGATGTAAAGATTCTCTGGATTTTCCTGTAAATGTCAATTAAAAATTTATCTGAAGGTTTTTGTTTTGTTGTTTGGCGCGGCGGTGTGGCTCAACGGGCTAAGCGTTAGGAATACGCTCGCCACCGCACCTCTAATTACTCTGCGTGGGTTCGCAGGTTCGAATCCCATGCAGGGATGGTTATGTGCGAGAGGATTGCTGGACTCCTCGCCGTCGTTGGGTGGTTCACGTAACCGCTGGTCGGTTACGGCTTCCTCCACCACCAAGTCCATGCTTCCGAAAACAAACAATACAGTAAAACTAATCCCATACCCGACTTGGAATGGTAACCGGACGAGAGGCCGTGGTTCGCCATATGGATAAGCCGTCTTATCGGCTTTCCTCTCCCCCGGGATAAATATGTAAATCCTATCCTATCCTAATCCTAATTAAACAGCAAACAAAACACAGAATGACAATGGTTATAAGAGAACTGTATATCAGAATACAATCCTGATTGCAACATTGGCGCGACAGCCCCATTGTTTAGAGCAGCGGGCACCAAACTATGGCCCCACAGGAGTTTAATTGAAGGAATCTGATTATATAATTAACGTACGAAATTGTGTTCATCTTCAATGTGTGTTAATTTTAATATACCATTTTTATATGTCGCAGAGCTCCTAAAACATAATTTATGGAGCATTTTTCCTCTTGTTTTTAGCGTGCATGATATCGTTTTAATGTTGAATGAATATAATGCGACAACAGCGACAAGAAAGGGTCAAATGACAAACTTATGGCACCATTTGGGTTAACCCTCCAGTTTTTCTCACTGAGCGCACAATTTCACAAGAAAAAAACTGATTATAGATGTCTTTGTTGGCTGTTGCACAAGACGTACATATATCGAAGTACATGTGAAATAGAGAGAATTCGCGGAACATAAGGATGTTCATAGACTAAAATATTCACGTCACACTGATAAAACAATCAGTGAATATATTAAAATTAGCCCGAAAAACCCCGTTATTAGAGACTATCAGTCCATTGAAAAAAACTGGCAGCGTTGTATTATCTGGCCCTTTATGAAAATATTCCAGTGACCCTTGGTTAGAGCATCGAGCATATCTCAAATTCATCTCATTCCGAAAATAGATCTCTTCATATATGGGTGAGGGTGGTTGAACACTTACCATAAATAATTCATAAAGTTCTTCACCCATGGCTTGCTTTACTGCTTCATTCACTGACGGGAATATCCGAACCAGATACTACAATAAAGAAAATATTATTACCAACAAATACATTTCACTTCCCCTTTCAAACTTAAATTTTATGGAAAAAGATATCAATAGATATATATTGATAGTACTTATTTCAATGAACCTGTAACTACATTTAGGATTGAAAGAATAGATATATTGTAATGTTTTATCATTTCCGTGAATTTATAATGTGTATATTTGTTAAGCAATCATGTTGTTTTAATCCTGGAAATGTTTCTTCAACGAATTGTCTATAAGCAGTTGAGCAATTTTTTAAACAAATCAAGCCACATATTGAACAACCAAATACAAATATATAATCAGGAAAATTCTTATTCACAGCTTATATAAAAAAGAGTACAAAAGTGATAACAGTATCATTGTCAGCATTTGTGTAGATGTACCTCCAATGTTAAAGAAGATTGCCTTTGACTGTCCGCAAAATCAGTGTTTCCCATCGCATACATTACATGATGAACCATTCTTAACCGAAGCAGTTTTTCCGCAAGATCTGATGAATCACGACATAATATACCAATAGTCTTTGCTGAGGATGCTTGCTTTACGAAAGCAGGCAAGGGTGCTTTAAAGTCTGGTGCATCAGACAGAGCATCTGTGAGAATTTTTTACAATTTTATAATTCAGCATTTTACCTAATACTAATATCTAAATTTCCTTTGTTCTGAAAAGTTATCTTTATACAACTGATGTGAAAACCAATTAAACACATGCACATGGAAAAGATTGGTATATGTGCAATTTTTTTGCTACATAAACTGTAGATCAAAACAAGACCTGAACAAAAAAATTCGCAAGCAGCCCATGACATAGTAAAAGCTATTAAAAGGTCTTCAAGACTTGAGATGATTCATCACAAAATGAAATTCAAAAAATAGGGATTTCTTGGGAAAGACTTTCAACATAGATTTCATTAACAGATTAGGATCTGTACATTCTATATATGGGAACAAATTTTTTATCTAGTGATATGGCATAAAGTATCTTTGGTTATAACAACAGAATAAAATTCAGATACATAAAGTCTGTTATAATATCTATAATATGGGCTAAATAAAGCAACATTAACCTGCTAATTGCTTGTTCTTTGCTATAATTTCCTCTCTTGTAGGACGTAATGATCGTACTAAACTTTCCAGCAATTGATCTTGTACTTCGTAATTCATCAGTTCTCGAATAAATTCAATTGCTGAATAAAAATGATAAATAAAAAATTTCTACTACAACTATATTATTAGCATTTCACGCTTTTCATAAGGAAATTGCACCCTAACTATCAAATTATAGGATATATTTTCTTATATTAATCAAGTGCTACTCAGTAACAAGTCTCTTGTAACAACGTTTCCCTTTTAAAACAGTGATCTTAAAATGTTTAGGTAAGGGAATATCATCGTTATTGGTGTGAAAATGAATACTAATACTGGGTCATGATATTGGTTTATATTCACATTTTTATCAGCTTCTCATTGCTTGAAAACCCTGAAATTCGGTTGCTCCACTTTTGGTATGTAATTGATGCATTTCTATGAAACACATCATCTAAATTGATTCCATGCCATGGGTCTAATGTCTTGGCCCATGTTTTATTTAATTTACAAATATTCATCATTGAATTGTCTATTATTGAATGACAACTACATATATGCCAAAACAAAATGAACTAAAATGAGAATAATTAACCCAATTGTTGTTCTCTTTATTGCTATGATATCTTATAACAGCAAAAACAAATGTAATTCCTATAAAAATATTGGTAAGAAAAGTTACCCCACCTTCATACTGAACCTCAAGATGAACAGTTGATAATAAATTAATGAGTGGTTCAACTAAACTTGGATTTGCGGATTTTACGATCACCTGAACAATTCTGAAATGAGAAATCATTAGTTTTAAATTTACAATACAATTTTAGAAAATCTGAGGATAATTTCATTTTTCACATTACCGCAACGTTTGCAATGCCATTTGCTGTGCTTTCGGTGAGGTTGACGGAAGAAGAGCAATTAATCCTTTATAAACTTGAACCTCATACTTTGGATTTCCTTGAGCCAGTAGCTAAAAAACAAATCAACCATAAGGTATTTAAAAAGCAAAAAAAACGAGACAATATTTCCACGAAACCCAAGTTCACATCTGTGTCGACTGAAAACACAGTGCTGGTTCTTATTAAATATTATTCAAAATATTGCTTAAATAAAGCAATATATGTTGATTCAATACTGACCTGTAATAGGATTCGAGCATTATCTTGAGTATCTTCTGTTTTTGCTCTTGCTAAACATTCAGCAATTGCCCTTATACCTACACAAAAAAAAAATTCAAAACAACATAATCTTGACAAGATTACTCAACCCTTGCATCAGAGCAGAGTGATTCAAGTAGCTGATGGACATGGGCTGATAAGTCAGACACGACATATTCTATACACAAAATTCGAGAATAATATTGGAATGTAAAATAGGTGAACAGTAATAGGTAAGCTTATATTCAGTGGCAGCAAAATCGATTGATGTTATGACATTTGGGTATTAATACTTTGATATTCGATTCGTTGGAACCCTGGTTCCAAACAATGTGTGATTTGGTCTTAGGCACAGTTTGGCAACCAGATTGCCTGGCAGCATATAATCGAGACATTACTAACTGAACCTGCAAGTCCCGAATGCTTTCTTGATAGTCTGAATTTTGCTGATGGTCAGACACACTTCATCCAGCCTAGTATTGTATAGTGAAATCCATTACAAAAAAAAAAATTACCAAAACTTTCACAGATGATTTCTTTGTGATGGCGTCCAGATCCTGCGATAACTGCAAGTAACTTTAATGCTTCGGCTTTATCAGTTTCCTTTGATTGTTTCAGACTAATTATTTCAAGTAATGTTAAAATTCCACCAACTTCAATAAATTCTTCCATGAATTCATGCCTAAAAATAAAAGTGAAAATGTCAGAATGTGAATATTGAAATCCAATGAACCGTTACCGAGAGCATTCAAGCATTTTTAGAGAAAAACACAATTATGGTCATGTGACGGCTGCGATTAATTTAGATTATTATCAAGACAAGTATGGCACGATCTAACCTATCTGCCTTCGTGCCAGATGCCCTCGTTACAGATACAAATAAAGTGTTGTTTTATTGAACCAAATGTCAGGACATCTTGTAATTGGAGAACTGTTCCCATACTGTAAATTGTTTTAGTTATATTTAACATTAATCATTGACTTAAAATTGGCGTTCTTACCCACTAGTAGCTGAGACAAAAATATTCAATGCTTTCAACTGAGTTCCAACACAAGTACCAACTAAATAAGTGAGTCGTAACCATGCAGATATTCTGGATAAAAACAAACTTGCAGCTAACCCATATTCTTGATCCAGTTCTGGAGCTGTTTTACCCTAAAACAAATAGTAAACACCTAATGGGATCAATTATTCATGAGTTAAATAGTCCAGTACTGGAATAAATTGGGCTAACCAAATCCATATCCAACTTCGTCTGCTATCAAAACAAGAGGATATGAGAAATTAACCCTTTTCTCACTCAAGACATATCTTAATTTCATCCTAATGGCCGCTGAGTGGTACATGAAGCAAATTGAACTTATTAAGTCAGCTTTCATTAACGTTAAGACAGAAACAAAAAATATAATTGATATGAATATATATGGTGGCAAATTTGAAGCTAATCCCTAAATTCAATTTATTTTTGAATGAAAGTAACTAGGCCTACAATAGTTCAATTTTAAATTTACATTATTTGATACGGACATCCTGAATTGCTACTAGAATATTGATAAAATGTAAAGCATAACATTTACATGTATGACCTTTTTTGTAACATACCATTTAACAGTATGAAAGCAACATTTCTTTGATTAAGCAGGCCTTTGAGGGAGCGGATCAGAAAAACTCAAGCTATACTAAAGTACTGAAACCAATATCAATTATATATATTCTCTAGTTATAGGTAAACATGATATATATTGTAAAATATCCTCACCTTGTTATTGTTTAAAAAATTTAGAAGAATTTCATTTCTGGAAGAAGGCGATCCTTGATCCCAAACAGAAAGAATTGTTTGTATCTTGGAAAGAGCCGCCTGGCTTTGTGACATTTTACCAAAATATATTTACCAATAAAGAACTGATTGCACTCTAACTTAAAGTATCAATAATGCATATACTGTATATATTAATATCACCCATTAATATAAAGGGTATATAATTGGTACCGTACTGGTCAAACTCAAACGTTTGCCTAATAACTGATAAAAAGGTGGCCTTCTGAAGTGGGGATTCCCCTGAAGTACAAATACATTTCTCGTTACCTAGCAACATGTTACTGTAGCAAAAATCAGCCACGCGGAACAACTGCTAATCTTATTTCAGCGGGAATAACATTCATTTTCTGAACACGCTTGCCCACGTAGATGCCTGATTGTGTTTTTATCAACGTTAGAACTTTTTGACGAGCGCAAAGAACGACCCTTCTCTTTAATCCCACATATGGGAGTTAGTATTGTATATGAAGACATATTGTCCTAATATTTTTCCAGAAAATAAGATCTGGCCTGAATTTTAAAAATGATTGTGATAGACTATAAGCCACCCCCTTGAAATAAGACCGAGTTTGTTTGTTTTTTGAATAAGAAATTGTCATTTATAAGTAAATGGATATCGGTTTCATATTTTGTATATTCTACTTTTTAATTTTGTTTTGGAATAAATGAAAATAAAGACATCCTTCAAATTATTTTTCAAAAAAAAATTGAAATAAAGCCCTGTCTTATTTTAAGGGAAACATGGTACTACCTATTGCCCGTTTACTTGTCTGTGTGTGTTCGACATGATAATCCCAGAACCGTCAAATACTGAAATAGACTAGTTAATTGTTCAATAAATTGGTTCCTTCAAATTAGTGTTACATAGAGCCTGTGGCCAACCTGCCAACTAGCAGACTCTGACTAGTGCTTACATGAAATCTATGAAACACAGACTGACAGATACTAGAAGTCATGCAATCCTCACCCACTCCATATATATTGAGATCTTATAGCTGTATAGTCTACAGGATTTCCACTTGACTTGTGAATGTGTACCAGTAGGCTACAATCTAGCAATCAGCAGCATGTTTCTAACACTTGTCTACTACTGTATTATGATCACAATGCACCAAACTCCAGTCGTCAACGAGAAACCTAAATTCGCCAACTGAAATATTTGAAGTGGGTAAAGACAAAAAGTTCAGATTACATGCACCTGTAGGCCTATTTTAACCCTAATTGATACAATCACGCATTTTTTTTCATTCACAGATCTTTGTCTTGAATAATGGAGCTAGTAAATCAGCAAAAGTTTGCAGATGACAGTATGATATCACATCATCCGAAAGTGGTGTCATCTGATGCGTCGTCTTGTCAAGACAAATCAGAGCTTAATGCCACATCAAATTACCAGACAAGGTGCAATATACATGAAATGAAGAATGAAAATGCACTGCATCAGAACAGTGTTTGCTTAGCAGAAAATCAAGCAGATATGGTACAATATAAACATGTTTCCAACCAGAAAGATGTTGAAACTGCTGTTACCTTAGTTCTTGATGAATTGTTAGAGAAGATAACACACAAATCTACAGATAATGATATGATACCTAATATGATCCTAGATGAAATCCTAACCAATAGCATAACACAAATTCCATTCAAAACAGAGGATAAAACCACAAATGTCCAAGAACAAGATGAGCTGGAAAATAGGATTTCAAATAATTCAAGCATATTTGAGCAAATTCTATTTGAAAGGAAGGATGAAAACTCAAACAAGCAAGAACCAGATGAGGAGATGAATGTTGTGAACGAATCTAACAAAGAAAAAATTCTTGTTGAGAAAGACAAAAAAAACTCAAATATACTTGAACAGGATAAGATGGAACTCAATAATCTGAATGAATCAATTGTTTCAGATGTAAACAACTCCCTAAATGAGTCAATTCGATCAGAGGAAATTCTTCCTGAAAGAGACGATAGAAACACAAATGTACCAGATAAAATGGAAATCTGTGATCTAAATGAATCGATTAGTTCAGCTATAGACAGTTCCACATCTAGCTCTGAAGCGCAAATGCGTACTGAAAAAGATGGAAAATGTAATGAGGACTACACTATATCGAAAAGATCTTCCATAAAAAAGCAGAAGTCCCCAGAACGTATTACCATCCAGGAAATACCTGACCAACACTTGACAAATAAAACCTTGCTATTTTCTCAAGTAAAGAGATTGAGGCGAGGCATAACAGAAAAACGAGAGACATTGCGTAAACTTAGACTCGCTAGGCTGTATAAAACGAAAGAGAATGCAGAGCTGGATGAACTGACACAAAAATGGACAAGTGCATCACAGAAGATCATACTAGAACTCGTCAATTATATAGAACAAACGCCTAAACCCACAATTGGTGCTTTGTTGCAATATTATAATATCGATGAGAAACAAATTCAATATGACAAGGTGAAAGATGCTTTTTACTCAGTAGATGATGATCGCAGCTGTTCATTTTAGTAGAAGCTTCGATCCATTGTGGGAATAAATGTTGGGGGCTCTTGTGCTTAAATTATATTTATAGTGAATACTGTGCAGCCATGACATCCCACTATGTTCTCATTAAGCCCTTCTTCGTTTCGTGATTTTACTGTACTTTTTTTCCACTGCGAGGCACCTTCGCACTCATAATTTCTTTAGTGATTTTACTGTACTTTTTTTTTCCACTGCGAGACACCTTCGCACACATAATTTCCTTGGAGTGAACACTGCATCCCGGTGTTTTTCTCCTCATGATTTTACTGTATTATCAGTCACTATTGTTTCACTTCACCCATTGCCCCTTTATCAATCTTACTCCTTCTCACTTGTTTTTTTGTTTGAATTTTATTGAAATATGGAAAATATTATACAAGACAAAAACCTCTTGGTTGATATTCGCATGATTGTAGGAAAGTTAAGTATAATCATTAATTCAAGGCGGTGAGAAGTTGTCCATCAAGTATTTAATGGCACTGAACATATGACACTCTGTGTTTGTTTGTCTTCTCTCTTCCATGTATTGCCTCAGATGTGCTTCAATTCGCTGTAAGAGTGGGTTGTTTTGAGCTGGCAATGTTGCAATGTTAGTTTGTAGATACCAAACAATAGGCATCACATGTGCTTGCCTGTAAATTCAGATTGGACAATATTTTAATAAGGTGCGGCAGTGGGCATGAAAATCTATGCAGTATGACGCACTGTAACAAACTAAACATGATTTATAAAAATGTAAAACATATTGTACATCTACATTCAGCCAGCATGGTCAGGGGGCTGCGCTATGCGTTATCTACAAACAAATTTAACATCGATTTGCTATTTATCATGTTTGGCACTGTTAGTTGACAATCATTTTCGCATAGATGAATGTTCCATACAGATGCTCCATGAAATGCGATGTCACCTTGTTTCAACATCAAATAATAAACATCACCAATCACCATGGAAAAATATAATATGAAGGGAATAATTATGAGCAGGACTGTTGGGCTTGAATTTACTCGTATGACAGTGTATTTACCAGACAGCTACAGAACATCAATACTGGTGAGAAAGATTGTAGTCTGCACATGTTTAGCCTTAGGGATGGGGAGCTGTTTCAAAATCAGTGGCTCTTGACTCCAGCTTCTGAGTCACAGTATATTCAGCTGACTCCAGAGCTTCATTTTTTTACGTCGGAGCTGGAGGCCGGTTTTTAAGTGTGACCACTACCATGAAATATCTACCCAAATGTGGATTAGTGAGAGCGGGACAAAAAACTGACAAAAGGATTTCAAATTTACATTGAAACTTTTAGATGAATATTTAAATTGAAATTTCTGAGCTGAAAAGAACAGATTTTATTATTTGTATAAAGTATTTGAAAATTATAAATGTTAAAAAATAATAAGGTGGTTAGGAGCTGGAGCCACTAAAACTTCTGGCACCTGTTTGGCCCTATCACTGCATTTGAGTGAATATTTCAAGAAACAATTTTCTAACCTGTTCATGGGTGGATTTGCAGGGTTGAAATTCTTCATTGTCATCAAGACAAATATCAGTATCTTGTCCTTGATATAAACAGCGGGAAGTCCAGCTGGAGCATAACTCAACCAAGGAGGCACAGTCAGGCATATTTGTGGAATCCATTTCACTGTTGGATCATTTTGGTGTGGTGTCAGTTCCAGACGCATCACATTGATGAAATCTCGCAGAATAAGCGACTTGGATGATATAATACTGCAGAATGCATGTATGTTACTTGGACGGAATGGCTGAGTAGCAACCCTCATTTTAAAAAAGCGTTCTAAAATAAGAAGATCATCATTTTGCCAGTTTTCATGAGGAATTCCATGTTCTTGCATGACTAAGGGTGGAACTTGCTGAACAGCAAGATTCAAGTGCGGACGGTTTCCAGGAAACTGCATTGTGCAACGGAACATAAGAGAATTCGCGGCAAAAAATGTGCAGAGAGGTTCATTCACAGATGGATTTGGAACAAGACTCGGAGAAGGTGTATAATATGGTGAATCTGGTGGAGTAGATCGTATTATATGTTCCAACTCTCTTCGTATTAGCGTATGACCAAGAAACTGCTCTAGAATATTTGTAGTATAGGAACTTGTAGTTGTTTGTGAACTTAATAGTCCTGTGAAAACATCCTGATCCAAAATGACAGGATTACTACCTGCCCACACACCTCGCGTGATTGTACGCATTTCTCCAGAATTTGCACTCGAACTTTGGATATCTGGTGCAGGAGGATCGTCCTTTTCTTTCACGGACCGCTTACGAGATCCTGGACTCTCAAACAAAGATAAAAATGATTTTAAACCAACAATTGGATACATTCCCTCTTTTACTTTGCTGGAATCAAACATAGAAAGCGATCCATCCCTAATTGCGACCTTTTTGTCAGGCAGAGAGTAGATATCTAACGCATAGGTTGATCGGTAAATCAGTCTTATGTGTGATGGAGACTGAATAATAACTGAGAAGCTCTGTGATACACTCTTCGGATTCTGTTGCATTCCACCGGGTTGATTTGATGCCATTCCAATTAAGGGGATACTAGAAAGAGAGCATATTGCTTGCAATGGCTGTGATGTGTCATGTAAAATTTGCACCAACTTTCCAATGTCTGGATTAGAATTGAATTGATTCACCAAATAGTGAGAGGCAATGGTATGACTGTTTGATCCTGTAGAACTACACCTTCCAAATAGCAAAACAAACTTGTCATTTTGGATTGACCATTTGATAGTAACAAGTTGATGCTTGGATTTTCCGTATTTGAGTACTAAACTGCGATAATTATAAGAATGAACAGTTACAATGTGGTGAAGAACACTACCCTCATCTTTTAAAGCTGTTGAAAAACGAGCCACTGGTTCATATAACTTTAAAATTGAAGTCCATTCATCATTGAAAAGCTTGACAGGAGAGTCATTTGAAGAGAAATCAAAACTCAGCATAACCCGAGTGAGAAAGCCATGTTGAGATTCTGTTTTCAATGGCCGATCAGTGAAAACGAGTTCAGCAATCCAAATCTTAGTACCTGATAGTTCTGACATTTTGGGTGATTTATCAATGAGCTTGAAGCTGCATTCAAGGAGGCTGGCAACCAGTTTTTTACTTAAAATAGTCTGAAGTACATTAGTTGGAATTTCAGGAAAAGACATTATTTTCACACTCAACCCAATACCTATGCCATCCTCCATCAACCCTTGATGTAATATGCCTTCTTTTGCAAGATCATGGATCAAGCTTATGAAAGGGATCCTGGCATTACTGACCGAAACAACTTGCGCCAACTCAGAATTGAAATGTGATCCTACGTCGCCGGATTCATCTTCATCTGATATTTTTAAATCTGCAAATTCGTCACAGCAAAGTGAAGTCTCAAGTTGGACAAGCGAGTCCGCTTTCATATCACCGACATCTCCTGGACGAGACGTACCACCTGATACAGTGAGGAGATGGTATCGATAAAGAACTTCAGTGGTTATTTCTTCATTTGGGATCAACTCTACAACAACGTAAAAATTGCTGAAATTTTTTAGTTTAATATAAACAATATCTTTTGATAATTGACCAATGGGATGTGTGCTATTGTTTGCAAATGATAATTCATCCACACAGTATGCTGGTAAATTTTGTACAGATGATTTGCATCTTTTTCTTGCCAGTTTATTTCTAAACCTGGGTATCCATGAAAGCAGATTCATTGGAGATTCATTTATAGCCTTCTCCATCTCGTCAAGTAGTTGTTGTTCCAAACCTGTTAGCATTGGGACATAAATGCCAGTTTGTGGATCTATAGAAACGCAAAGATTTTCGTTGCTCTGACAAGGTTTTATTAGAGGAACAATCAAACTAGACAGATCTTTTGAAATTTTTGTTGAGTCATTTTTAATATGTTTCTGCAACATTTGCTGCAATTCGTAGAGTTTATGAAAGGAGCGAACTTTGATCGTATCACTGAGTAATCTTTCAAATGACAGATCTCTGATTTTTGATGCTTTTTCCACAAGATTTACATTTTGTAGGATGAGTGGTGGTTTATGAGTCACATCCAAAATCCATGCACCATCTTCTGTTTTTCGCTGATGAACTGCTACAGTCATCAACTCCTGTTTAGTTGATTTATAAGGAGTCAACCTAAATTTTTAAAAGCAAACACTAAATCATTCAATTTTATTACATTACTGAATGTAAGAAGTTTTCAATCAAAATGGTAATAATCAGAAAACAAACTCTTGCATAGCGCATAGGTAGATAGAATTTTTAATATTCATATTGGGGGAAAAGTTGGTAATATGCCTTAAGATTTTCCATACCAGATACGACAGTAAGTAGAAACAATAATGGAAAATAGTTATTCCAATATACTGATAGTTCACTTTTTTGAGTATTCCTATTCTGTAGCATTTAGTCCATGTCAGAATAATTAATATTATTTCAATAACTATATTTAAAAAAAGGCATCTCATGGATGCTTATGAATACCAAATCATGAATAATTCAAATCAATTGCTCGGACATCCTTACCTCCAGTATGATAGCACGACCTTTACACCAGGAAGATATTCATCAATTTGGACAAGTCTTCCCCATCTTTCCTGGATTAGTCTAACTGTTTGTGCTTGTAGAACTTCCAATTGTAAAGAAAGACAAAACGAATGAAGAACGTTGTACAAATCCTGATAATAAGAAAAGTGTTTCAGATAAACTATGTCATATTTAACTTAGAGACAGAAAAGAAAATGAAGCAAACTTGACATGAACATTTGCATCTTGCTTTCAATTGTATTGTCACAGTAATTTGACAACAACGGGCAACCAACCTTGATCAGAAGTTAAAAAATCTTAACAAAATGCCTACGCTACATTACCATTTAATTAATTAGAGTTGGCTAAATATTTATATAAATTCAGTACAATTTTACCAAATAAATATTTAGAATTGAGGAAACCGAAGGGAAACCTATTATACCTGAATAGGATCTTCATTTGCAATCAATCGTGACTGGACCAATTCGTGAATGTAATTAACTTGCAAATTATGCACCAAAGTTCGTCCACTGCCCGTTTCTCTGTCTTCAACCATAAATTCTAATTTCAGTAATCTCCATGGAACTTCATCTTCATCACCCATGAGAGTAAGCATAGCCTGACCCAACAAAAAATAAGCATTTTTTTTAATAAATTCATCAATGCTACTTGGCACAATAGGAAATACTACCAATGCCTCTAAGAAAGCAAGGTTACAATAACAAAATATTATATAAAAAATTTTAATCCTTGGGTGTTGTCAATGTTTGACTAAAGATAATAGAATATCATAGCATTTCAAACCAATTTTTGCATTTCTACAGATCGTCAAAACCAAGTTATCCCATATTCAAGATAGTCCCCATAATAAATAACATTTAATAAGTTTTTGTTTGCATAGTTATGAGCGACAATAAGTCAATAATTGACAATCGACAGCTGGCAAAGTACCAATAATATAGCAACGAGAATATCAGTCGGAGACCGAAGACTTATCGATCGAAACTGCGGTTTCGATTCATGACTCTATAGTGACACCACGTGTCCCATCACTAATTAATTAATAACTCTCTAAATATACGACATAATTCATCCAAAATCAATAGGCTTCTAGTCTGAGATATGATGAATGCACATGCAAAGCAGATCCAACCTCACCTTCGTGAGATACCGCGTTCATCTAACAGACAAACAAACAGACAGACAGACAAATACCTATCAACATACTTACCGATCTTAAGATCGATAAGTAATAATAAACAAGACTAAAAATGTCCAAAATAATTTCACATCGTAATTCATATTCTTTTATTTTAAACAGCTTGAACAGCTCATTGTACAGTTGTATAAAAACTCCCAACTTACACCCAAATATCCCAAAGTTAAGTAACATATATTTTGATTACACTAATAATTTCAGAATATGAAAAATATAGATATTCTTACTTCTTAAACAATCAAACAAGTCCTTAAGAAACGCAGTAATAAATAATAGTTACCTGAAATTCTCCTGGTACAACAAGCTTGACCATTCCTTTGTCAACAATCAACTCCATGATTTGTAGTGGAATTTTTGTAGTGACAAGTCGATACATGATAATTTGGTTCAGTCTTTTCAGAGTTGCTGCCTTCTCCAATGGTGTGATGGGATCAGGAGGCAAAATTTTATCTCGAATTGCTCTAGGAAGTCGAGGATACGTTCCAGTTGTTAATACATCCACTGCAGCTGGTATGGCAAAATTAGGCAATCTAGCCTGTACTACGAGTTGATTGGCTAACGTGTGTAGTTTATCGGCAGTGTCAATAAACAACATAGCTTGTTGATCTAATAACTGTGTTATTTCTTCACATTTTGAAACTTTCCCGACGGAACTTGCCCATTTCACAACTGCAAGAAGTCGGATGACAAGCTGACGAGTACGATTCGCAAAATGGGCGATATCATTTTTTCTTTCCATGTCTGGTTTACCAGGAAGAAGGTCAGCCATAACGACAATATCATGATAAGTTTTATGAATAATGTGATCAATAACCGTATTAAGAGGTATTGTCCCCATTGGTGGTGCATTCATTGAAGGAACAATTGCTCCATTTTGCGCAGGACGGGGGCCCTGCTGAAATCCCACAGGTGCTGGCATTCCAGCCACATGCATCTTATCTAATAGACATACAATTATATATAAACTGTGTAAAAAAATGATAGAGCAATGTTGAGCAGGATAGGATTCACATACTTTTCTTGAAAGAGAGGAAAGGTGATGAGACAGCCTGATATATGGCCTCTTGTCGATTACGGCACCAGTCCATGTCGGGTATGGGATTAGTTAGTCAGTTATTTGTTTTCGAAAGCATGAACTTGATGGTGGAGGAAGCCATAACGGACCACGTCTGCATTTCAGGTGAACCACTCCACGACGACAAGGATTCCAGCAATCCTCTCGCACATAACTATCTTCGCATGGGATTCGAACTTCAAACCCACGCAGGTTTGTGAAGATTGATTGATGAATACAATTCGTTTTCTCCAATAATCTCGTTGCCTATTTATTACTTTGATTGTGTGGTTAGTGGTTACTACAAGTTGGGACATTGCACATAATTCTTCAAGATGTGTCTGCGGGTAGGGGTGCAAAATAGGGCTCCACCACAGCATCATTAAGTGGATTGAAATTCACATTCCAACTTTACAAGTGTGTTTGGCTAGCCCAAATGAGGCTAAATTGTTAACTCAGTAACTAGCTCCTGAGCTTTCTATCTTCGGTCAGGACAGCTAACAATAAGCTTTGTAGACATCGAATGAGGAATCTATTAGGCGGGGCGCGGCAGTGTGGCTAATCATGCTAAGCATTAGGAATATTAAGCATTACGCACCTCTTTACAGCACACTATTCAAATTCCAAGAATTTCCCTCCATTTGGCTCAATAAAACAAACACTCTATGTGTCTCACAAACGAGGGGCGTCTGGGACCACGTCAGATGCGTCATACTCATATCTAGGGATGGGCAATATAGAATACCGAATCCGGAGGATTCGAAACCCAAAGTATTCGAATGGCCCGCCGAGGAGTTTCGAGTGGCCCGCGCTGTATTTTCGGAATTAAATAAAAAAAAATTGAGTAAAACTTCTATTTTTCAAGTGATGTAGTTAATATGAAGATTTGATACAAACAATTTGTTCTTTTCCTGAAATGCGCTCTGCTAGTCCGTTCAAACGAGCCATGAGTACCATCACCAACTGGAAGATATCGATACATAAATAGTAGCTTACACACTTGGGCAGAATGGCAGTTTTAATGACCTCATAATTTTGCAGCACGTACTCGTACAATTTTTTTTTACAGATGAACCATGTCAAATCCCCTGTGAGATCATTAATTTCTGACAGTCATATGGAAAATTCGCTTCGCATTGCTACATCGTTCTTTTCAGCGAATATTGACAAACTTGTTAGCGAAAAACAGTGCCAAACCTCACACTAAAATGTCTACGTGTAGAGAAAACTTTGTCGACTCTTTCTTCGTTTTTTTATTGTTCTTATTATTGAGTTTGGTGCGAGGGTTTTGTTTGTTTTTTCATTAACTTTTGGTCAGTGTAGCGAAACTAGAACATAATTACCATGTTAAGTGGCCCGCGCAATTATTAGTGAACTAAATGTGGTCCGTCGCCCAAAAAGGTTGGCCGACCCTGCTTTAGATGTTTTTACCTAAGAACCAACTACGAAATCGCGTTCACAGGAACTTGGGTTTTACGAGTCTTGCTCGCACAAAATAAAAAATTGATTTTAATTGATAGTGGTTAAACTTATAATTTTATAACGGCCGCATAGTTTGCAGTGGCCACACGCTGGTCCTACATCTAATTATTCTCAGCGGGTATGTTTTAGTACACTCGACAGACTAACATTGAAAATGATTTAACGCCAATTCATATCCATTTTTGTATTTAACCGCTTACTATTAAAGTGTGTAAAGCGTGTCTTAATTTATCTTTTCAGTATTTAGAGATTATTGGAACAATTGAAGGCAAAAAATATTGTAATATTGTTTTATTGTCCTGGGAAATGCCTGTTTAGTATCAAATGAAATCCAATGTTCAGGACATTTCCAAATAAATAATACATTTATAGTAATACATTTACAATTTTTTAACATCTAAATCCAGCATTGTGGAAATTCCCACTATTTGAATAAGTATGAAAATAGAATAGGATTCGGTATTCTGGATTCGATTTACCTATTCTAGAATAGTAAATTATTCTACATTGCCCATTCCTAGTCATATCACACCATGCTTGTCTCAATAATAATGTAAATTATTTGCGGCCGTCACATGACAAAAATTGCCGTTTTTGCTAAAAACTCTAGAATGCTACGGTAAAAAAAATTTTCCCTCTGTAAATCGGATTATTTTTTCCCAAGGAACTCAATGATGACGTTACTAGATTACGCTTTTTTTATTTTGTGCAACTTCATTATACCGTATTATTACCGATATTGAGGGACAACAATGTCCAGACGTCTCCCAAAGCCAGACTGGATTCCATGGCAGATGCATGCCCGAAGGCGCTAGCGCTCCACAAAAATGCACGCGAGCAAATTCAATTTTGCACGACGAAAATTTGCAATTGCTCACCAATGTAAATCGGTTTAAATAGTTTTTAAATCAATAATCTAGTAATATAAAGATGCCGAAAAATTATAACTTTACAATTGTCGACTAATAATTGCTTGCAAGATTTGGCCTGATCGAAAAATGCGAACCAAAAAACACCATATCGTGTTGAATGATAGGAATCCCGTGAGAAAAATCTCCTCCTCGCCGACGCTGGCCAGTTATGGCTCTGATTCAGCGTATTTTTAATACAATCATTTTACACGGATGTACTGAACAGTACCGGTATCTAAAGTCGCACAAACACTCTCAAAATTAGTGACAAAATATAGAAATGATGTTTGGGGTTCAAAGGTCAAACGTCCATTTTTGCTATGATTCAACTTATTTTTTATCCAATACTGGTAATTTTACGCGGATGTATTGAGAGGTATCTTAGGTCGAAATCAGTTTAGCTGGCGCAGTTGTTTTGCACGCCGTGAACTATAATTGCACGCCAGAATTTCTGATTGCATGCCCGATTTCTCGTTCGAAAAGGCCATGAAATCCAGACTGGTCCCAAAGGAGGGGTGTCTGATCATCTGTAAAATGGGTTTCTCTGAAACGGGACAATTTCACCCAACTTGTATAGTGTATGAATCACTCTGCGTGGTTTCGCAGGTTCGAATCCCATACAGGGATGATTATGTGCGAGAGGATTGCTGGACTCCTCCTCACCGTAGGGTGATTCACATAGAGTCCCCTCGCCGTTATGCGATCATTTTTACCAAAATGCTTCTAATATGCTTTGTAGTCACAGAAAACACTTCATTTTTTCATTAACATACTCTACAAATCCATCTCAATCACTTCCCTCAAAATCATGCTGGTACCGTGACCGGAAAACCGTTTATACCGCCTCTACTTTCACCATGTCGGTGGGGCAATTGCGATCAACAACGTATATTTGCAATCACTAAAAATCTCGCCAATCGGAGCGCCGACGTTCCTGTTTTAGACCCTACATAGGTATGGAAAATGTTTGCGAAATCATCTTTTGGGTGTGCTGACGCGAATACTGTCATCCGACAAGCTTATTACAAACGTTTTTTTTCAACCGAATCTCACCAACCCGATTACTGTATTTGATTCTACACGGGACAAATAAAATTGAATAGCATAGCGACTCAACCTTGGTCCATTCGATAAACCGATAATAATACCCCTACTTTTTTTTATTAGTGATTACAATAGGTAGGTACTTAGGACGATGGTTTGTATTCAATCAACATGTGTATACATTTGCAGTATGGCGAACAGATTCCGTGGGTGACTGGAAAAACAGCCTTGTCTTGTCATATGATTAATTACGCACATCTCTTCACCCCATCACGGCGATGTGTACAAAAATCTTAATCTTTCGATAGAAAGCCGGTATGTTTACATTGCAGAGAACAATGTTATCAAATTTATTTTTGCGCTCAAAATTATCGCTTTACAAATGCCAAGAAGTAGTGTTATCATACAATTCAATGTGATCAAAGCCCCAAAGATATACTATTTTTGGCTCCGCCGGAAACGCATTGCTGTTCGATATAATGAGAGGCTAAACCTATATTTTCGATGACTCCCAATGTGCTCTGCAAGTAGTCTATGTCAACTCCTAAACTGATGAATTTAAATATTTACAAATGGTGCTCGTAAAAATTTTTTGTTAACAATAATGAAATTTGACATTGGCGCTGATACATTAAGAATCATGAGGTCGGTCAAAAACATTTAAACCAACAAGAAACATTCACAGCAGACATGGTTGGTGTAACCTACGGCAAATACAGGGCAGGTAAATTTAATTTATTACGTTATTGACCCCTCAGCAGTGTTCACTATTAGCGCACTTTTTTGCGAAAATTGCGAAGCACTTTCGCAACTTTTTTTAGGGACTGCGAAATAGCACTTTTTTCCGATTTTGAAGAGAAATAGCACTTTTTTCCGATTTTGAATGGAATAAAAATTTAAAGTTAATAAATATTTTCGAGTATTAAGTTGACAAATAAGTAACATACTAGTACTTTTGTAACTCAACTCTGCATATCATAACGATATTTACCGGAATTCTAACCTATGAGATGCAGACATAGGAGATAAAGCTTTTGCATTAACGGCAAAATTCTTGTTTATAATATGATTATTATACAAGCACACCGATTCCGCTTCTCCCGCAAAAAACGCTCCCGGGTGATTGAAACCAGATGTTGGAATAATACGCAGTGCGTTTCTTTGAAGAGAGTGGTCATGTGACTATCAATGATATCGATGAATTCAAAATGACTATAAAAGTGTTAGTAACATGTTATAGTCACTTTGGATGAATTGTGACCAAACTGCACGATTTTCAAATCAGACGAAACTTTTAGCAGCATGTCACAGATTTGAAAAATCACCAAATTCACAAAATACCATTAAGTGCCATTTTATTGTAATCACAATGTTGAAAGGAGTGGCATTTTTCGTAATTTTGCAATATTTACACAACTATTTCTCATTGATATGCGAGGAGGGGTGGGCAAAATTCAATATTTTTTTGAATCGAATATTTTTAAGGAGTACCGAATAAACGTGGTGGAAACATTAAAAAATCGACAACAAAGCCTTTTTACTGGTTAATTCCGTTGTAAATGCTAATTGTTCTTGTCACCGATCGTTTTGGCAGCGATATCCAGGTCTTGGGTAATCTATATTCCCGCCATCTCTTTTTTACAAATATGAATTCTTGTGGGTCGGCGGACATCGAAGTTTTATATTTCGGGTTTACCCGTTCGTTCACATCGGCAACAGCTGTTGAAGATATTGAGGACTCAAATTAACATTTGCGTTGGCTTTAATATTACCTATCAAGATTTGTAAATTTACCGTCCCAATTTTATGCGAATGGTAATATTATTTATTGTCCATACCGTGATGCAG